CTGACGGAGTCCCGTACCTCGGCTACTACGTACGAGCCCGAGCACGGGCTACATATTCTGGACATCTTCTACATCAACGGTTCCTTGCTAGTCTCTGATGTCCACAAACTCAGAAGCTTCAATCTCTCTTAGGGCCAGTTCTCTTGGGCGATTCTATCAGAATCGCCCCCCTCCCCAGCTTCTCCCATAATCACCACTTCATATGTTTTTTACAATCCTAGCTAATTAGACCTTAACTAGATAGAATTGTAAAAAATAATATGAAGTGGCGATTCTGGGAGAAGCTGGGGAGGGGGGCGATTCTGGGAAAATCACCAAAAAGAACTGGCCCTTAGTCTCTTACAAGAAATGCTGCCATGTCCCGGAGGCCAACATGGCCACCAAAATCGGGCATCCGTTTTCAATAAGCCCCCTGAATCAGAACCTCGTCTTCTACAACTGCACCACGGCGCGGGTGGCCCGAGCAGGGCTGGTGGACACCGTGGACCAGAACAACATGTTTGTCCGCGCGGTATGACGTTATAACGCGCCGGGCGTGATAGACGGCAGCTACGCTTTAGAGGGATGCAGCGACACCACTGTGTCGGTGCTGGGGGCGTCTGTAGAGGTGAACGCCAGCGACTACGAGGAACTCATCATCGATAGCTTTCTCCTGACATGGCAGCCGCCGAGTGCCGGTAGTGGTAAGCTCACTCACCCTGGTCAGTCGTGAAATACTTCTTAGCAGCAAATAGGCGCTGGGCAGTACATAAATGCCCACGATTGGACGCTTCGACGCGACAATTTTGACCACTTAGATGATCAAAATCGTCTGTCATAGGCGTATAATCCTGAGTTTCAAACAACCTGGAGCATAGTTGAAGATTTGATTAGGAATGACAATTACATTACAAATGACTAGTGAGATATGGATTCCTCTAACGAAAAGATGAGAGATGTGAGCCCTGTCACAGTCTGTCTTTGCGAGTGGCAATATGGCACCGTATGTGCACCGTCCTGGATTGGGCAGGCACTGGCATTGGGGACTGCCCCACCTGTGTCTCTAGCAGCGGCCAGTGCCGGTAGAGTAACGCGACCTCGGAGTTCACGTGCCTCTGCCCCGATGGCATGCTGCGGTCACATATGCCAGTAAGCCTCCAAATTAATTTTCATTATCATAATAGATTCTAGGACATGGAAATATAATGAAAATGTGATAGTTATCTTCAAAGATCAATAATACACCTGGTCAAGCTTTAGTCCATGGGGAGCAGTCACATCGCGTCACCCCCTGTGGCTGAGAGACTCTTATACCTCATTTTCGTTCGGCTGGACAATTTACTCTTTTGAAAACTCCATCTGCTGCTGAATAATCAACCTGCTGATTTACACAAGAATTTTGCTCACTTAGATGATCGAAATCGCCTGACACTCAAGTCCCTTGTTTCAACCAAGCTGGAGTATGACCCTCAAGTCCCCAGTTCACCAGTCTGTGCTTTCGAGGATAAGATAAGGCTATGTCGAAGATGTGCCACGAAGGAAGTTTACCAGTCTGTGCTTTCTGTTCACTGGCCGATTCACGCATGTACTACTACTATGTACAGACACTATTACCAGTCAAGTACACCAGCTGGCACATCTTGTTAACCATGGTCAACAAGAGCGTGCCACCAACCGGCATTGATCGACACGATAGAATTGGCGTGTGTGGACGGTTGTTGCCCAGCCAAAAAGCAGTCAAATGTTCCTGCAAACACAACTCGCTCACTGACTTGCCCTCTCCTCATATACATGTGCAGTTTCATGGACTTGGTGCCAAAAAATTGTCCACCAAAGTCCTGCTGGATGTTCCCATGGCTTGGGCCTCGCCTCTTCCTATCCTTCGTCATCATCTCCACGATGCCGACACCATTGCTTGCCGCAGCCTGCGAACCCAAGCGATGCGGCAACATGAGCATCTCAGCCCCGTTCGGGGTCATCTCGGGTTCTGAGGAGAACAGGTGTGCCCAGCTTGGGTTCCAGGTCCACTGCTCCGACGGAGTCCCGTACCTCGGCTACTATGAGCCCGAGCACGGGCTACAGATCCTGGACATCTTCTACATCAACGGTTCCTTGCTAGTCTCTGACGTCCACAAACTCAGAGGCTTCAATCTCTCTGACGAGAATGGCTGCCATGTCCCGAAGGCAAACACGGCGACCAAAATCGGGCATCCATTCTCAGTAAGCCCCCTGAATCAGAACCTCGTCTTCTACAACTGCACCAGGGCTCCGGCGACCCGAGCAGGGCTGGTGGACACAGTCTGCCAGAACAACACGTTTGTCCACGCGGCAGGGCGTTATAACGTGTCGGGCATGATAGACGGTGGCTACGCTTTGGAGGGATGCAGCGCCACCGTTGTGCCGGTGCTGGGGCCATCTGTAGATGTGAACGCCAGCGACTACGAGGAACTCATCAGCGATGGCTTCCTCCTGACATGGCAGCCGCCAAGTGCCGGTAGTGGTAAGCTCACTCACTCTCGCCACTCGTCAAATACTTAGCAGCAAATAGGCGACGGGCAGTAGTACCTCCATACTGGTGCATAAGTCATCTTACGAAAATCAAATAATTTTAGAACACTTAGACACGGTGCATTAACTCTCATCTTGTTTCTTGTTTCTTGACATGAATAAAGGAATCAACCAATAAGGCTGGTCATAGTGGGAGTAACTTAGCAAGTAACATAGCGCATTCCAAGACAAGTTTGCTTATGTGGCATCTAGTTAATGAGGAGAGATGTGTTTGGAGTAACATAATATGTTACTGTAACATAACGCAAACCAAAGCAAAATGAGTCTATAATGTAATAAATGCAATCATCTATGATACTACTTGCACTATGAAGGTAGTAACAAAGACTAGTGTCATATGCATGACACTAGTCTAAGTTACTCCCCACTATGAGCAGCCTAAGACACGTGTAACGTATATGTTTTTAATGATTTGAGTACCTATAGCATGGCCTGCAGTGGTCAGTTCATTGCATGCAATGATATTGATTAGCAAATAAATATTAAGGTTTCTCGTTGTTTCCCCCGCCTTGGTCACGATACATAACATAAGATAAGGTAGTACATAAAATCGCCTGACGCTCAAGTCCCCAGTTTCAACCAAGCTGGAGTATCACTTGAAAACATGGTTTGAAATGATATACATTTAAAATGATAAGTGATAAATAAATTCCTGCAAAGAAGAGAAGTGAGAGATGCCAGATCTGTCGCCGTCTGTCATTGCTAGTGGCAAAATGGCACGATCCTTCCGATCTGTGCACTCCACACACAAATATTCGACCAATCAAGATTTTGAAGTCATGAGAAAGTAGAAGATAATGATACTTTGACCGTGGAAGGTCCAGCAATTGTTAGGCCATGTTTGACCGTGGAAGGTCCAGGAATTGTTGACCGACTCCTTATTACCCTCTCACAACTCATTTAGTTTGCAAGAGCAAGCACCCCGCAAAAAAAAAATGGTTTGCAAGAGCAAGCAGATGGATCAGTTTCAAGTCTCTGCAGCTGCCTTGTTCTGCTCAGCCATGCTTCTGCTCACTCTCCTCTGGGGCACCACCATAAGCTCCGAAAAGACCACAACACAACGTCCTGCGAGCCGGCGGCGTGCGGTGGCCTCCGCATCGCGTACCTGTTCTGGCTCGGCAGCACACACCCGCCGGAGTGCACCTACCGGGCCTTTCGGGTCACCTGCGACACCACTGGTAAGGCTTTCCTCGAAAACTAAGTACCGGATCCTGGATATCTCCTACGGGGAAAGATCGTTCCGGGTCACCAACGACATCGAGCTCTCAAACGGCACCTGCGACATCGAGCTCCGAGTGAATGCCTCCTCCGTTTGCTTTATATATAAAGCGGGGCAAAAGCCTTTTTCGGTGAATGCCTCCTCCGACCTTTGCCTTGTGCCATTCAGCATCAGTCCCACCAACCAGGAGCTCTTCTTCCTCCACGGCTGCACCGACCTGCAGGCACGGCCGCCGTTGCCTATGTGGGCGACAGTGAACTGGAAGAATGATGGAACCAATATGTCAACCACGTTCAACACATTTGCGTAGCTCGCCGGAGGGTTTAAGCCCGAGAACAAATGGGCACTGGGGCAGGGAACTGCACGGTGTCGCTGATGTCAGTGCTGGGGTTAGGTACCCCGGGGCGGCCGGGGCAAACCACCAGCGGCTGATGAAGGGTGGGTTTCTTCTTAATTACACGGCCGGCGACTGTGCAGCATGCGAGGAGAGCGGTAGACGTTGCCGGATTAACACCGACTACGATATCTCCGAGTGCCACTGTGCCAACGTTGTGTAAGATCAGCTGTGGTGAGCTTCACATGTATCATAGTCGTTACTCGTATCATAGTGGTTTATAGCGAAAGAGAACACATCATGTGTCTAACTGCTATTTACTTCCTCCGTGCCAAAATAACTGACGTGGTTTTAGTTCAAATACACTATGAGAACTGTTTTGTACGATTTCAACATAATGCATGTCACTGGTCTAGTTTTGTACCGTAAGTACTCTTCGGTTTTGGTGCAGTGAGGATCATGCTGGTATAACGGACATTTGCAGAAAATAACAAAGCACGCACACGTTCCTGCTTGAATGTTGTAATGTTCTTTTAATATTGAATATCGATATGTAATGATTATCTCTTCTTTTCGACAAAAGACCAACGTAGTACTATTGGGTGACACTGTTTTTATACATAAATGTTATGTTATATTCCAGGTAGCAAGAAGCGATGGCACAAGATTATGCTAATAGGTATGCTAATTTTTGGCCATTTATATATCAGTAGCTCCCTAATAGTGATTATCTATAATAAATAGGAACTTGAAAAGTTATCTGTCTATAGTCATTGAAAATTGATTGTAAAAAAAACTTGAAACAAGCAGCTCTAAGCTTGTGCATAATAACGAGACCGGTCAATTTATGGTATTTAGCTTGTTGCTACTTTTGCCACCATGTACTCTTGCAGAAAGAGATATGTAAACTATTGATGGCCTAGAAATCATTATGACTGTATTATAACTTCGGGTTTACAGAAGGAAATAACATATGCTTCCATCTCAGGTATGACATCAGCAGCTGCAACCTTTCTCTTTGCATGTCTTTATGCGCTGATATGGTATAGAAAGGGGAAGAGGTTATGGTTTCTCCTTTCCGAGACGACTAAAAGCAACACTGAAAAGAATTACGAGGCCATGATAGCGTCCTCTGGATCCCTAGCTCCGAAAAGATACATGTACTCAGAGATAATGAAGATAATGTCTTCTCACGATGACCAGCTTGGAAAAGGAGGTTTTGGTGTCGTTTTCAAAGGAAGACTACACGATGGTCGTCTGGTTGCTGTTAAATTCTTGCATGACTGCAAAGGAAACGGGGATGAGTTTGTGAATGAAGTTATGAGCATTGGAAGGACCTCTCATGTTAATGTTGTTAGTCTATTTGGGTTTTGTTTGGAGGGATCAAAACGTGCTCTTATATATGAGTACATGCCCAACGGTTCCTTGGATAAGTACATTTATTCAGAGAAGCCCAAAGAAATTTTAGGATGGGAGAGGCTCTATGCGATAGCAATCGGGATTGCTCGTGGCCTCGAATACTTGCATCATAGTTGTAATACACGTATCGTCCATTTTGATATCAAGCCCCAAAATATCCTTCTAGACAAAGATTTTAGCCCGAAGATTGCTGATTTTGGTCTAGCTAAATTGTGTCATACAAAGGAGAGCAAGCTTTCAATGACTGGAGCTAGAGGAACAATTGGATTTATCGCTCCAGAAGTTCACTATCGGACCTTCGGGGTGGTTTCAACAAAGTCGGATGTTTATAGTTATGGAATGATGCTGCTGGAGATGGTTGGAGGTAGGAGAAACGTAAAATCAATTGTTGCAAAATCCAGTGAAAAGTATTTTCCAGATTGGATTTATGACCACTTTGCGCAAGATGAGGGATTACAAGCATGTGAAGTTACAAGAGAAATTGAGGAGATCGCGAGAAAGATGATCATAATAGGCTTGTGGTGCATACAAGTGTTACCTATGTATCGACCTACTATAACAGAAGTTCTAGAAATGTTTGAGAGAAGGTTAGATGATCTAGACATGCCGCCGAAGCAGAACTTCTGTGAACTACTGTAAGATATTTCTCCCATATCTTTATTCCTTTGTTTTCCTAGGTGATTAGTTTCTGCAATAATAACTTGACTACCCGCTTATGTCTCATTACAGTGAAAGCTCAGCTCAGAATTTGGATGTAAAAAGTTCATGTTCTACCAAACCTGAAGAGATCAGCCTTGTGAATTCAAAAATCCTACAACAATCGCCAACTCTTTGAGCAGATAGGCCATGTGAATCAAAGAACCTACGTTCATCTCCAACACTGTGAGAAGTTGGCCTGTACTACTGTACATTCAGAAATTGAATTCGGCATTGTACTTGTAGTAGGATATATTCCATATATGCATGACCTAGAGTCAAGAGCAGCCGCATGATAGCATCCTAAGTTACCAACCACGGAAGGAATACAATTTATTCTGATGACTTTTGTGTTACAACCGCTAAAAGGCATCGGATGTAGAAATCTACCAAGACCTTTTTGGCTGTAAATTTCCCCCAAAACTTAATACTCGCGATTTGGGCTCAAACTACAGCCCCAAAATTTCAATATTCCGATGTATATCCATCTAAACATTGTTACAATATAAGTCAATTCATACTTTCATAGCAAGCAGATTAATCGTTGAAGAGGAAGGCACATACTTACTTGGTCCTCTCCGTAGATTGTAAATAGCGCCGTGCTTTTTCTTGAAGTGCACACAACCTATCCGGCTACTACCTCCCAACTCTGCGACCGTATTCCTCTCTCCATCCGCTGGCGAGCTGTGGGTTTGCGCCGCTTCTCAGGCAACATCGCTTCAATGGCCCCTAGTTTGCCGCCGTAGCCACCTTTGATGCTGAGTGGGTCAGTGGGGGTGGGCTAGGCTAGCGGTTGGTTGCCGATTCACCCATGGCGGTCACCGACTCGCCGCTCACACAATAGGAGACGTCGGGGTGAAAGGGCAGGCTCTTCACGGCGCGGGTCATGACAGCAGTCGCACGCCGCAGCTGCGCCGACAAGCGGACGAGCACAGCCAGGATGACGCGAGGAATCAATAGGGGGCACATACCGCCGGCCAGTGGCGGCGCAAGTTCCTGTAGCCCAAACCAACTCATCGGACGAAGGTAGAAATGGTGAGTGATTTCTGACAGCGACATGGCAAGTTGCGTACGACTCGGGAAGCAACCAGGTGGCACAGTCTGTTTTCGCAGCTCAATTCTACCTTTTCCTTTATTGTTTTTTGGGAGATCATTTTCCTCTCTAATTTTGATAATTTTTCCTTTCAAAAAGAAATGTTCAACGGCCAAAACTCTTGTCTGCAGATGCACAAATTCATGCCATAAAACTTGATGCAAAGTAACGATAGTAGAATCATGAGATGGATAACGATACTAGAATCATGTCAAGATATGAAATAAACATCTACAAGTATGTTGCCCTCTATAACCCTCCTTCAAAATAGATAATAGTGGTTTTATTATCCTGTCCAGCTTGAGACGACGGGATACCAATTTCATCCGTGACAACAAGGTCCAACCAATGGAAGTTGGGACAACTGTACAAAGACAACTCGTCCAACAAGTTAACAATGCAAGTTTACTGCTACATGTCTGGCTAGAAAAAACAAGATCGCAAATTTGTCACCCCCGTCATGAAGTGGTGTTCTAGTTACCATATTTGCGATGGGTCTTCCAAAGGCGAGTCACCTTGTACTCTAACAACTGAAGCCTAGATCAAATATCAGACTCAATTGGTAATCCTCCACTTCACGAGAGAAGCCTCCACTCATCAATAAAATGGGAGGGACCGTGATCCACTGATCTAGATGTTATTATGGGCAGACCATTGACATGACTACAGACAAGAGTGCTTGAGCCTCATCGACGCATCAGCACTACACGACCACTCATGTCTGATGGAGCCAACTAGTTGACCGCTTCACAAGGAGGGAACGGTGCCACAAGAAGTTATGATGGGTTGTCTTCCGCCCTAAACCGCCACCACGTCATCGGGAAGATCATCACACCACACATCTAGTTGTCTCCACCAGAGCTCGAGTCAGCAATGGCTAGGGCAGCAATCATCTCCGTCCAGACACTTAACAAAATTCCATCATAACACGCCATAGTGCAAACATGTCGAGCCGGACATGCGATCCAGCATCGAGGTAGCAGTTGCCACCACACCTCCTTGCCAGGGACCTCGTCGGCCTGCAACGCCAACTTGTCCGTGTGTTGGAATCCGCCATGACTATCTAGAAACCAAGGCCTCCATCATTGTCATAACCACATAGGCTTGGCCCTTTTGTGCATCGACAACAACAAGAGGAGGAGACAACTATCTGTGGCCTGGATTGCTACGCGAGTCACCCTAGAGCAATGCGGCCATTCAAGGCCGTTAGGTGGTGTTTAATTAGATGGCTGCGTGATAAACCAAATGTCCCCGAAACTCTCCAGTTTTGATTTAAGTCAATCGTAACCAAGTTGCGCACCCACCTACCAAATTGCCATTCTCGATCTCGCAACGCAACACAAGCATCACATAGAGCATGGCGCTAGCCAAAAATGCTAGGCATACATACATATTGTTTACGTATTGAGGTCACGTGCTGACTTTTCATGTTTTTACTCGTCTAATTAATCGTCCGCTCCTATTTAACTCCCCGCCCCCGCCCCTCCAATTTAATCGGGTGTCCTAGTTGCTAGTATGTAAAATTTGCATAACTTTCCTGTAGGTGTATCATTACTTTGGCGGTAGCTAACCAACTGTCGGGACCCGGGGTCTATGCACGTAGATCTAGCATGTAACAGACCATAAGTGCACGCGACTCACGCACGGAAACAACAACAATGGCTGCTGCCTTACCTAGGCCGGTTCGTTTGAATCTTTTGGTTGAAACTTATATGCATCGTTTGCTCTTTTCTTTCTGTTGTTGTATGCTGGATGTGGTGCTTTATAATATAAAGCGGGGGAACTCCTTTTTCTTAAACCTATATTCATTTCGAATAATGGTTCTTAAAATAACACTCATATTTGTACGAGAAAGAACCCACATTGCCCTTGGAGGACTAGTCAGGATACCCATTGTATGGCCCACAACCATACGAGGACTTCTAACTTTGAGCATGAGAAGTTTTCTTTCCGAGTTGGTGGTTATCACCCTGTGGGGTAAAAAAACATTTACATGATTTTTAACAATAAGCTTCCTTAGTACCTAGATTTTCGTCTCTAGAGGTCCATTCTCGCACTTAGTTCCAATGTAACGAGGAAATACTTCATCATGTTGATTCTTGAACAATTTATGGTTATAGTCGACTCATCAGTAGCAAAATAATATTTGCAATCATAACAAAATAGTAGTGTGGGATCAACATCCTTCCATCTTCTGAGCACCTATGTGGTCTTGGGATATTGCTCTAAGTTTCCAATAGGTACCATCAGCGTTGATGTTCCTCATAAAGTCAATCCCTTCCTTGGTCATAGGGTTCTTGTTCAGGATTTGTTTCTTGAGAACATCACAGAGGGTTTGATGTCTTTTAATACTTTTGAATATTTCTGTCTCAAGCAAATTCTTCAACCTGACATTCTAATTCA